TTTTCCCCATTTCATGGAAACAGTATAGTACATTTTTTTAAACAAGCATGTCGAAAAAAGGCGACTTTTGAGGTTTTGCTGAAATAGAGTGATGGGCGAAGGGGGCTGATATTACGTCTCCTGTAATTCCAGAACACTCCCGTGGGGTTCTGGTTTTTCTTGTGAGAAAAATAAAAAAAGACATTTGTTCCCCAAAAACATGTAGTAGAAGTCATGATCTAGGGCACCTTCAAATCAAGTACATCTGCCTGAAAGCAAGGAAACAGATTAAATACAAAAAAACAGATATTTGCAACGGAGGAGGGCTTAAATGCCACTTTGGGAAGAAGACTAAAGTTTGGGTAACGAATACCCAAACTTTCCCGCCGCATTTTCAGCCAGTGAACTTTAAAAAAGAAACTCCGTAACAATGTGTCAACATATATGAAGGCAAAACGCAAAAGAGGAAATTTGCTAAAAATATCACTAGCCCCCTCACATTTGACGACTTCTTTTTCCCCATCAGGACTCAAGTTTTACGGGTTGTGTATAAAATTCCCCAAGTAGTAAGGGGAGCTTTATGGGCGTTTTGTATCTAGCGTTTTCCTTCTTTACGCATTTTTTAAACCTTTCTGGCCTGCTTCGACTTTTTCCCATTCAGTTGTTTTATTTGTCCATTTTTGACTTTATTATTTGCCTTGTATTTTATTTTCAATTTGCCCCAAATAAAGAAAACACCGGAGTTCCCAGAAAAGTCCTCTGTTCTAGGGTTGCCATAGTTTAGGGTAAGTGTTAGGGTCGGGATCTTTGTCAGCCCTGAACGCCCCAGAGACAACGACTAAGCCTAACCGTTCCTTTAATCCTAACTATAACAATAACTTTACACCTAACACTTAAACCTAACCCTAATGCCAGCCCGTAATACCCCTTGAATGTGATACTTTCCCGGGCACTCCAGAATTTCATTTAAAGTGAATAAAAAATACAGTACCATGCACCTGTCCTTCTCCTTTTTTGACCTGACCATTGCCCTTATGTGCTAGTAATTGGTGATGATTAATACACACGCGCGCGGACATACACACACATGGTGATTATAAGTCACTCTGCAGATGTCCCAATTCCTTTAAAAGGGGGGGGGGGGGGGGCTAGCTAGCCGAAGCTGCCAAGTGTATCCGGCTATATTTGTGGTCTTGAATATTTGCGTCACTTTCGTGACTAAAATTCTGGTATTTACGCCGTGTCTGGGCTGAATGCTTCTTTCCTCCATGTCAGACAGTTCCAGATCCTGCTGTCAACTGTGTTTTTGTGTGTGTGCCCTATCATTTCTGATATTCCCTTCTTGGTTTCAGATCCTTCTGATGTAGCCAGGCGTGCGTATTTTGTAGGAGAGCAAGCGAGCTTCTCAACATAGCGTCCTTTAGGCCACAATTTATAGTTTTACAATCTGAGTGCAGATAACAAATAGGTTAGTATGTAGATATTAGGATAGACATACAAGTAAGCTGATATTTAGATAGAGCAAGAGGCTGGTATGATGGTAATTATTTGTTGTTAGCTAGAAATTCAACAGTCATAAATTTTGACACTTTATTGATTTCTTAAAAAATACAGTGTTTGCACATATTATAGCGAATAAGGGTTATTGTATAAAAACAATTAGGCAACAATGCAAGAGTATAACACACAGTACAGCAGTACAAAAGCTTATAAAATACGTAATGAAAAAAGCTATCTTCAGCGGAAAAACGAGAAAACTATAAGCATTTCAGTGGTTCATAAATAAAATATACTGCTATCATCATCATCATCATCAGGTGCCTTCCCGTCTTGTGTGGGCGATCATGCCTCTCCATAATCTGCGATCTTCTGCAGCATGTATCAGTTCGTGTGCCGACACACCTCCATGCCATGCAACAAGACTGTCAAGCATCTTCTTTCGTTGTCTTCCTCTATCCCTCCTTCCACAGATCTTCCCAGTGAAAACCTCTTGGTTGCTCTTTTTGACTGTCCAAGGTATTCTAAGCATTCTTCTGTAAAACCACAATCCGAGGCCTCCAGGAATTGTTTGGCCTGCCTACCTATTGTCCAGGATTCACAGCCATATGTTAACACTGGATGTATGTAGCAATCAAGAATTCTTTTTCTAACTCTCAATGACAAGGATATATTGCACAGGATGTTTTTCATTTTATAAAATGCAGTTTTTGCCTGTCCTATTCTGTTTCGTATCTAAGTAATGCATCTTCCATCTGATGTTATCCATGTGCCCAGATACTTAAATTTTTGTACTTGTCCTAAAATAACACCATCGACTTTTATCACACATTTAGGAATAATATATTGCTATACTCATATGTTTGAAAGGTGCTTTGGCCTGATCATTTACTGCAGAACTGTTCTCTTCTTTTGTCCTACTGCCTATGCCACAAAGTGCCGCAGAGAAGAGTTTGTCGTAGTTTCCTCTTTTTTTTTTTCTGCTTGTTGCTTTCTGTTAATGTCATGGTGCGTTTTTGAAGTGTCTCTTTTACTCCCTCCATCCATGTAGTTCTTGGTCGGCCTCTTGCCTTGTAGCCTGCGGTTCTCATGTAGTACGTTCTGGCTACTGACTGGTTTTGTTCAGTTCTAACCAAATGACCAAACTATCTGAATTCTTCCATGTTTGATGAAATACCTAACCGGTTAAAGTTAGTTGCGTAACATTTACAGGACGTTGCAGAAGCAGCTTCACCATTTTTTGCCTGTTGTGGGTTTTCTAAGCAAATTTTTACGTTCAGTAGATTGTTTTTGCTCTCTGAAAAGTCAGCTCTGGGTATCATTGTCAAAACCAACACAGAACGCTTTGCTTCCAAATCGCCCGCAGATGGAAACGAACCCGCACTCTGGCAATACGAAGCATGTTCGCAACGCCCAAGCCACAAACGCCGACAATTTAAAGGTGCCGTACCTACAATTGTTCTTTGCAGAGATGACCCCTATATCAGAACCTGCGAGAAAACATATGCCCAGAGAGGAGAGGCATCCAGGAAATACTTTAGGGACCCCTTTGGAGAGCAACCGCTGACGCGTCGGCTAATGAAGGCAACATCACTGATAATCTGAGAAAATTAAACGGATTAAAGGTGAGGTAAAGTAGGGAGACGTGAACAAACGTCACTGCACACGGTTATAAACCATAAGTGCTCTGCCACCAGTACGGACAGCTGATAAGAAACTGTCCGCCTGTGTCGCTGTCCGCACGTAGCTACAGCGACGTTACTCCATTTACCCCAGAGTGTTACTCAGGTACCCATTTTCTAGAGGCTGGGAGAATCCTGGGAGCCGCCCGGTTTCGAACACCGACCATGGCTGCAGCGAGTCGCAGCTGACTTTGAAAGCTAGCCTCGTATCGACTGCGCTAACGCGGCTCAGATTGCAAAGAAGAAGCAGAAGAATCCATATTTTGGCAGATGTTATAATACATTATCGGACCCAGATGTTCTGATAACTAGAAGCGGCCGCGGGATGTTGAACACATTATCCGTTGACTTCTGTTTGGTCTATCAAATATGAGCCTTACCAGGTTTTTTATTCCTAGAAAAAAAAATCAAGGAAGGGAAGTAATCTTGACATTAGGGGGAGGGAAAGTGAAGGCTTTGGACCCCCCCCCCCCCCCCCCCCCCCCCCCCTCCCCGCCCCTGAAAATAAATTAGGCATGGGGACTTTGCAAAAGGACTGAATGGGTCTCCGTGTTTACTTTGTGCCGTCATTCCCACCTGGCATTCTATGGGATCTGAATATCCAGGCAAACGGGCTCACTGGTTTAAAAAAAAAAAAACAGTAAAAAGTTTTGGTATCTGTAAAACGAGGCAGCGACAGAACCGCATTGCAGAACATTGAGACAACCACGCTACGATACAAGCACCGAAACCTGTAGGAGACTGCGGTCTCTCTCTCTCTCTCTCTCTCTCTCTCTCTCTCTCTCTCTCTCTCTCTCTCTCTCTCTCTCTCTCTCTCTCTCTCTCTCTCTCTCTCCCACCCCCTCCGATTCCCCCTTTTTCCTAAATTAAAAAATATGAAGTAATCAAAATGTAAACATTATATCACTTAAACAAATAATAACCGATACGATACTAAGCTACAAAAGTGTGATGTAACTTTGCATATTTACCAGCTTATAAAATAGACACGGTCTGAAAAAAGCAACAACAAATGCATTACCAAATGTAATATATAGCGTCAAATCATCGCCTGTGGATGTCAAGAAAACGATACTTTATACACAAAACAACTATTTACACAAAAGCTTCAAGCAATGACTGAAAGTAACTTCTAATTTGCAAACAGCCTTAGCAAACAGGCAGGGAAAAATGACCTTGATACAGCATCGTCTTGTTGTGTTGTTATATGCCACAGGGCTCACAGTCTAGCCCCAATTCCATTTGAACCTGTTCAGTCCTTCAATATCATCGATGGAATCGAGCTCAGCGCTTTTGCCCCCAGACGAGCCTGCGTGCCCAATTTGTGACCCTTTGACAGTAAAATTTGTTCGTTCTTTCATTCATTCTTTTATCAGCGTTCATCTCAAGGTTTCTCGTTGACTTTCTCGTTTTTCTTAATCCAGTTGTTCCCAATTTCAGTGCCTATTTGGCGATTCTCTGTCCTTTTCTCTCCATGATGTGACCAATACATCCCCTTCTTATCTATCTTATAACTGATGATACAAGTTTGATCGCCAATACAGGCCATGTAACGTATGTACACACACAAGAACTGTCCGAGTCCCAGAAGAATATAGAGCCCACGTCATTTTTGTTTTGCGAGTTCAAGATGATGGACAGAAAAAAGAGTTAAAAGAGCGGAGACAGAGAGATATAGACAGAGAGTTGGAGGTAGGAGAGAGATAGATAGAGAGAGATAGATAGATAGAGAGAGAGAGAGAGAGAGAGAGAGAGAGAGAGAGAGAGAGAGAGAGAGAGAGAGAGAGAGAGAGAGAATGAAGGGAAAAGCCACAATAACAGTTCAGCCCAAGGACATAGTTTTCAACGAAATCGGAACGAATCTAATCTCGGAACAATTTTCAGTCGCATAAACTGCTTGTCAGTCATAGGTCGCCAACGACGCATGAGAAGTTTGCAGACTTCATCAATACATTTGTCGTAATCCAGAGCGCACTTTCTCAGTCTGGCGTAGAATTCCTTTGTCCACATACCAGGCTGCGGCCAGTCGCATCGCTTAATCAAAGCATGTCTACGAACGAGAAGAGTCCTTAAGTTCTTTCCTTCATTCGCCAGTAGAATCAAAGTGGACGTGCTAATTCTCTCTCTGATGACCAGTGTATGCAGAGCCGGGCAGCGTCGGACCAAGAAAAGCAGGGACGAATCACATCTAGCATCGATGCCTCGTGGACCGTGAACCCGCGGAAGGTTCTCCTGTACGAAGTAGTGCAAGGTTTTGCTATAGTACTCAACCAAAGACATGACCAAATCGCTAGTAAGTTTGCTGTACGGAGTACGCAAAAATACCCCGTAAACTGGAGCCCTAGGCTGAACCAGTAAGTGGGCTCGTGTGTGACCGCATACTTCCAGATAGACACGCAACCATGGCGCCATTTCTCTCACCAGTTTCCACGCTTCATACGAGACCGGCTCACAGTCACAAGTGTAAGCGTCTTGTACCAAATGAAGCTGTAACAGATTTAACCCGGCCAAAAGAATCAGCACTTCTTCATTCAGATGTTGTGGGCTTACAGTCAGTTTAACCAGGTTTCGAAAACGAGCCAAATCGGTTAAACCGAAAGGAATCTTGGTTACATTCAACATTTCAAGAGAACTCAGGCACTCACTGAAACAATTGGCCATAGCGTCAAAAAGTCCTGGCACATCCGTCTCATCAACAAGAAGTTGATTCAGTTTCAGATGTTTCAGGTTGCTTATTCTCATCAGGAGCTGTTTGATCATTTCCAGAATTTGACCACCTGTTCCATGGACGATGACTTCTCCATCTCCTCGGCTAGCACAGGCAAAGGTGAAATCAAAAGTGTGAAGAAGCGGCATTGCCGCCAGTCCATGTTCTTCTTGATACTGCAGAAAAGCCGCAAGAATTCTCAGAAACTCGTACAGGTTGAAGTAGTCGGTGATTGGAGTCACTACGATCCTCTTGAAATACGACCCAACTCGTCTGAAGCATAGCTGAAAAGAAAGAAAAAGGTAAGAAATTATGTTTCACGCACACGCGCGCGCAGACACACACACACACACCTACAAGCGCGAGCACACACAGAGCTATCTTGTTGTTTTGTTGTTGTTAGTATTTTCAGGGGGTAGATAACATTTCTTTTTGATGAACGTCGAAAGGCTGGTGCTTTATTAGTATTCTACCCCAAACAAGGGAAATCCACAGGTCATGGGACACTCTATAATTTCAGGGGGTGGTAGACAGGCTGCAAACAGTCGTGAGACCTAGGTTGCATGCAGTCGTTGGACCTATGCTGCACTCTCTCGTGGGATGTAGGTGGGTTGGGGTTGGGACCAGTTCTAGATTTTTTAGGGTCGTTAAAAGCATCAGAAAGCCGAGCAACCCAGTCTTACCACCCTTAAAATTCTGGGCTGTCCTGTGACGTCATCTGGGGTAAGATAATAATAAAGCACCGAAAGTCTCAAGTGCTGGACTGAATTCCATCCATCATAACGAAAAGATTACACACGATCGAAGGGGAATGGAAACATGGAGCCCTTTGTGAAATATACATGGCACAACAAGATGATGCTAATTAGCAGATGGCGGATGATTCATGATAACTGATCTGAAGACTAGAAAGAAGACACAAACAACATACTGCACACATTAGTGCCTGGTGTATTTCGCTATGACTCGTCAGGTGCACACTACAGTAACAGTTGCAAATAACATGACATTTTTTCTGTCTCTCTGAATTGTTACCTGAAGCTTTGCACACGCCTGCCATTCAAAGAGTAGCATCGCTGATGCCATTCAAACAGGGCAAATCAAGGTACCCCCTCAGCCTCCTAGGAGGTTATAGTTAAGTATAATCAGGTCACTTGTATCAGCAACACCAAGTACTAAGATAAAGATTATTGTAAAGAAACACGAAAAACTAACTGTATGAAAACAACCCGTCATGAAGCCAGGAGATTTACAAGAGTACTTATTGAATCAAATAGGAATCCGAGCATCCAGGTCACCAGAAAGGCGATACAGATCATCACCGAAGTGAGCACGTAACATTCTTCAGACTCCTCTCATGAGATGCAGAGGGTCTGAACCACACAGGATGGTCTACTAAGATCCGGGCTCTCACTAGTTAGGGCCTATCTTCGTCTCTTCGCGGTCATCCTTCTGGACTTTCATCTTGTTTCAGAACTGGAGCTTTGCGCGCACATCCGTTTAACAGATCTGGCTTATCTGTTTGCAGACTGTCGGTTCCTTTCTTCTTAAGCAGATACACTCCGACTTATAAAAAACAGCTCGATCATATCTACGTTGGCCAGGCCATGACTTTCTCTAGTAGTAGCCCATCCATACTGGAGACGGTCACGACCAGGCTACCGACTGAGAGCCTGTTTCCAGGATCACCACGGGGAGGTGTAGATAAATCTTGACCAGTATGAGGCTTGGTCTTGGTGTACTACCATGTCTGCCTCTGATGCCTTGTTTCAAGTACGGGTCTATACATACCTGAGTCTTTCCTGGACACAGTTCACGTTGATAGCCCTTGTAAAGGTTGAATCGTTTCTTGGTCAGTGTCCTCTCAAGCAGTATGAACGTTTCCCACACACGGGGCGAGTAGAATAGGTCGTACCATTGCCGACAGACCATCGAGGCCTGGTGGCGTTCCTTGGGAGATAAGAGCGTGAAGACATCTTCCAGGAGTATAACGGGCAAATAAGCCCAACCATCTTCTTCAATTTCACTTTCTTCCTTATCTTTATTTTCCTTGGCTAATGTTTTCTGAGAGGAAGGGCATGAAGAAGAAAAAGACATTGTGGTGTTTGTCAAACTGTTGTTTTCATCTTGTTGGTACGAAGGTAAAGATGACGAACGCTGATTGTCTTGGTTGTTGTTGCGAGAGATGCTAATTCCATTTTCATCTACATCTTTATCATTTTCAGCATTATCCTTTAACTTATTCATTGAATTGCTGGGGGTCTTCAAGTCATCATTATTTAAACTGTCAACGGACGATTTTATCGAAGTGGGATTGCTTGATTTGCGAGTCAGGATTGCCTCCTCTTCGGCAATTATTCGTTCAATCATAGATTCTAAATCGTCTATTTCACTGTTATTTTCCTGTTTGTTTTCTTCTTCGTTTGTGTTGTATTTCGCATACTTGTTTTTTGCTTTAACGTCAGCATAACTTGACTTCCACCCATCTTCATTGCCAGACGACCGACAAGGATCTATTTTGTTTTCTGTGTTTAAAGTGTTCTGTTTCGATGATACTTCTTCATGAGCAGTTTCAAAGCTTATCTCATTTTGCCGAGCCCCACTAACTTCTGGATCTGTTTTGTCGTTAGACTGACTTGAACCTTCTGGTCTGGAAACTTCCAGGTTTAAATGCCGTTTTGGGATAGCACCTCTACTGACATCCCTTTCTTGACCATACCGGTTCTGGTCCTCAGCAAAGTCTTCAAAGGAAGCCGTTGCTCCAGCAGAAGCCACTGCTTCACCTGAAACAGAAGCACCTGTTTTTTCGTCACTGACAAAGCCATCATCTTCATTATCATCATTAGCATAAGCACACTTATTACGTATTTTTTTAGCGTCAGCATTGGTTCGAGGTCCTTCATGTTGATCTTCCTCCTCGTCTGTATGATGTTCACCGAAAGAACCTATGCCTGACTCCTGAGATGACCTAAACCTTCTACCCTCTGGTTCAGAGTCGAACCTGGTTCTTTCACTGTCTGACTGGAGATTCAAACTGGAATCGTCATCTTCGTCAAAACTATGAGTCGTATTTGAGAACCTAGAAAACCTCACTCTCAGCTTCAGATGGCCCTCGGATTTCGTTCGGGCGAACCTCTCCCTGCGGGTTCGATGAATCTCCGCAGAGTCCACGAGATCATTGGAGTCCGCATCTCTATTTTCTTGTGAGTGATCTGTATTGTAGCCATAAGATTCCCGCCTGGAGGTATATCTTTGAGATGGTCTTTCGGTCAGAGGTGGCGTCTGGTCACTGTCGTCGTCCATCATCAGGCTGTGGACACGCAAACGCCATTGAAATCTGGGCTCCGGTTTCACTGGCTCCGAATAGCGCCGCCTGTAACTCAGGTACGTAGACATGATCACAGGCCAAAGTAATGCAGGCTAAATGACAAAACGAAACAGATGTCGCCCCACAAATCCACTTTACATTATCTGCGAGACGGTATTTGTGCTGAAAAAAAAAAAAAGCAAGAATATACGGTAAGTAATATTGAAACTCCTTAAGGAAACATGGTGAAAATGTCATTAACAAAAAAATGATGTGGCTAGATAGTAAATAATAATAACTTAAAAAACCCTTTTCCACGCCCTCAGGCGTACTGGGCATGTAGGGCTAGACCTATATGTTATAGACCAGTCGTTATTGGTGGGTGATGTACTCAACATTACACCGACCACCTGTAGTTTCTAGACTTTACCTGGTACCCTTCTAGTCCGCGACACCACGGCGGTTCCTAAACAACAACAGTAACCATAATTATAACAGACATAACGGCAGGGAAAGTTAAAGGCAAGCGAGCAAGAGCTAGACAGCAATATTCGTGGAAGTATTACATCAAGAAATGCACAAATAGCCTCAACGCCAGAAAACCGTGAAATGATCCATATTGTTGTAATTTGCCGGAAACCGGCATTTTTACGGAAATAAGCAGGTTAGAATGAAGATACATGGAGGCCAAAAATATGCAGTTCTAGAAAAGAAAGTAGAGAACCTGAAGAACACTTTATGGAGTTAGTTGTGAAGAGGGAGAAACTAGGTTGCAAGAAAATTTGATGATGAAAAAGAAGGAAAAAAAAAGAAGACGAAGGAGATAGAGAAAGAAAACAAAAAAGATGAGAAAAAAAAAAAGAAAAAGAACGAAACAAGGGCAGAAGGAAAAGATAAGAAGAGTGGAAAGAAGAGGAAGAAGAAAAGAAAGAGTGAATAAATGAATGAAGGAAAGAAGGAAGGAAAAAATAAAACAAATTTAAGAAGAGATAGAAAGGAAGTAAATGAGTGGTAGAAAGGGAAGAAGAAGAAGAAGAAGACGAAGAAGAAGACGAAGAAGAAGAAGAGGACGAAGAAGAAAAAGAAGAAGAAGAAGAAGAAGAAGAAGAAGAAGAAGAAGAAAAAGAAGAAGAAGACGAACAAGAACAAGAACAAGAAGAAGAACAAGAACAAGAACAAGAACAAGAAGAAGAACAAGAACAAGAACAAGAACAAGAAGAAGGAGAAGAAGAAAGCTAGTATTCTTTGTTGTTAACATAATGTGGAATGTCAGTATTTTTCTAATAATAATAATAATAATAATAATAATAATAATAATAATAATATAAAAACAATCTATGAGAATAGAGAAACTGCAGAATTTTATTTCAAAAGCCACCTCCCCCCGCCCCCTTTCTGTTTTCTTGCCCCCAGTGAATTCGAAATAAACCACATCCATATGTTACAAAAAGTTAAAAGTGTATGTTTTCCGAGTGTTTATCATTTTATTTTCTTTGCCGATGAAGGTTTTCTAGCCGTAACGTGTGTGGTTGTTTGTGATTGTGTTATTACACAGCTGACTAGCTCTATCTCTTTTTTGGATTGATATTCCGTGGCCAGTCTCCCTATAACGTCTTTAAGCAGTTTCTTAGTGCTGTTAACCATGGGGAAAATCTATTCAACGTTAATTAGAAATATTTATTTCAGTTTCTGTATTCTGAATTTATTTTAATTTTGGTATTCTGAGAGTAATTAGTTTGGCTGAGGTTTAGATTTTGCTGTTTTTGCTTTAAAGTTATTTTCTTCGGTTTGAGAGATTTTTTTTTTTTTGGACAGACAGAATTGCCCGTTCCAAATCCTTGGTATTGTTTATGAGAACGCACGGTCCTCATAGTTGATTTCCGGAATCGAATCTCCATTGGTTATGAAAGGGTGAAAATAGTCACAGGTGTTACCATTCTTTGCGTTTTTGTTTGAATTTTTGAAAAGTCGAATAATGAGCTGTTAGAACAAAGACAATATGTACCCCCTGAAATTTAGAAAGCTTTCCTAGCAAAGTTATTAAAGAAAACACACATAAGACTTGCTTCCAGAACATATGAATTGTCCTTGGAAATGTATCACACAAAACTTCTAGAATACTTACCGCCCTGAAAATTTCGATTGTTATCTTAACAAAATTACCGAAGAAAACACATACAAACCTTCATCCTATTATTAGTATCAGGGAGTACGCATGTTTTTGTAATTCTGGCAACTGCGATGTTTAGTTTTAGCTTTTGCCGCTCATTAACAAGAAATAAATATGTCTAGATAATACTGCGATCGTGGGATGGGCCGAAAACACGACATGACTTCTTGGGGGTACACATTTGTATCATTCCTATAAACAAGACAGAAGAAAGCACATCGAGTTAAGAGCCAGCTGAAGTCCCCACAAAAATGACTGGTAAGAGTAGGGGCAGTTTATGTGATATATGAGTCATATGAGACCAAGGGAAGGTCCAGTACAAAAAAAATATGTATAGTAATTCAGTTAGGGTAACTTAAAGGTATAAATAATCCCTACACAAACCTGTTAAAACATAAAGTAAACTTTGTCTAGTTCTTCTGTCCAAAATGAGGTTGAATAAGACACGTCGCAATTCTCCCATGTTTACAAGATACAGTTTTAAATGTCTACTCTCTTCTGCGTTGTAGCCATATCAGCTACGAACTGCATATGTTCTCTGTAAGTGATTCTTCTAGTATACGATGTATTATTAAGCTAGAATATTAAACATGTGAAGTTGTAAACAAAGAATGTATACCTGTTGTGTGTACTCAGATGAAGATGCAACACGGTTACTTGTCCCGATTACGAAATATACCCATTGCCCGAAATGTTCTATTTTTCCTGTGACCTTTACCTATATGTGTGCTGCTAGTAGAAGGTACGTGCAGACGTGCGTGCATTGTCTATTCTTAGTAACGTGCGTGCATGTCAGAAGCACAATGCACGCTGGCGGGCAGGAGAACTTTTGAGAAAACGGTACGAACCGTCGCCATGTGGAGGAACTGCACACGAGAGAGACTTGTGTTGATGTTCTTACCTCTTAGTTACAACATGATGTTTCGTTCCGAAACATTTGTGATATTGGACTCGACAACTTGGTGACGACTAGCAAGATTGATAGAAAAGAGCAAGAGGATAGCGAAGACTCGAATACCTTGACGGCTTGCTCATATAGATAGGGCCAACCAAGGACACTGAACTGATCCGTGACTCTGGTGATCGTATGAGATAGCGAAACATGACACCCTTAGCCTATTAGCAGGGCATGTGATAATGATGATGATTCATTACATGTTTAAGTTTCACGAATCTGTGAACATCTTTACAAAACAACGGGTAAAGGGTAATCTCGTCATCTTGTATCAGCTTGATCCTCTTGTACTTTGCGGTATCGGGGTGAATCATAATACGCTGGAGAGTGTCTGTTTGTATGCTTCATAGGTGGGGTGTGCCTCTGGACCTGGTGGAGGACTTCACTGGGGAGGACTCTAGCCTTACTAGGAAGCGGAAATGTGTTATGATCATGGTAGGGTTAGAGAGGGGTGGGAGTGGGGGGGGGGAGGGGGGAGACGTGGGATTGCTGTCAAAGCTCTAAGTGTGTCATTGTCATGATGTGCACACAGACAACAGAGGCCACGTGAACAACCTGAAGTAAGAAAAGGTGAGCTCAGGTTGTGAACCGTCCAGTCAACGACTGTCACCAGGCGGATCAACACTGTCGGCACAGAACCAATTCTAAATTACATACAAAGACAGCAAGTCAAATGGTGGGCCTGCTTGGAGAGAATGCTCTCTGATGCTATACCATACAAGGTAAATACCAAAAGAGGAGAAGAAAGTTGAGCAAAAGGTAGACCAAGAACAAGATGGGAAGTTACCATCATAGAAATTCTACAGCACCACAATGTGTCTATGGTCGAAGCAGCAAGAAAAGCACGAAGCAGGACTTTAGATCTCCCTCGACACCCGAAGCAGTAAAAGAGGACAAAAGAAGAAGAAGAAGAAGAAGAAGAAGAAGAAGAAGAAGAAGAAGAAGAAGAAGAAGAAGAAGAAGAAGAAGAAGAAGAAGAAGAAGAAGAAGAAGAAGAAAAAGAAGAAGAAGAAGAAAAAGAAGAAGAAGAAGAAGAAGAAGAAGAAGAAGAAGAAGAAGAAAGCAGAACCAGAAACAACTGAGCAAATCTGCAAACCACGGACCTGTCAGTCGTTACTTCTTTCAACTTCTTTGATTTGTAATAAGGTTTAAGATGGAAGGGTACATCGGGAAAAGTTAAAATCTCTCAACCCCCATCCCCCTTTCCCCCCATCTTATCTAACAACTTTCATAGTCTTGCCCTTAATAGTATCGAACAGATCCGTGTTGAGAAAATAATTAATAGAAGAATACAGTTATTCTGCACTGATAACAATCCGTGTTGTTTCTCTACCTATCCCCAGATGAATTTACGCACAACCACTGTATACATTTCGTTACTGTGTTACTTTGATGAAAATCTGAACATTAAACGGTGCTTTATTAATATCCCACCCCAAAAAGGGGAAATCCACAGGCCACGGGACAGTTTAATATTTCGAGGGTGGTAGATAGGCTGCACGCAGTCGTGGGACCTAGGCTGTATGCATTCGTGGGACCTAGGTTGCACTCTCTCGTGGGACGTAGGTGGGTTGGGGTTAGGGTCAGTTCGAGTTGTTTTGAGGTCGTTAACAGCACCGGAAAGCTGGGAAACTCAGTCTTTCAACACTCTAAAATGTTGGACTGTCCTGTGACGTTTTTGGGATAAGATATTGATACAGCATTCATTATACAGAAAAAAAAAAACTTAAACTTCAAAAATATAATCACTCCTTATCATGCAGAAAAGTAAATACGCTAATTTCTCGAATCATAACTTCGTCTTGATATGGCGCCTAATTTTGTTGTTACCTCTAAGCCCCAACCCTGCTGCTGTCGAGAGCCCTAATATAACCTAACGGTTGAACGGGGTTTCTAGGACTTGTGCGTGGGGTTTGCATAGCATACTAGGGCGTGAAACACACAGATAGTAATAAACATAAGTC